AGGTTTCAACTGTTGGACCATAACATTATTTTTCAATTTCATTCATGTGGGGGATTGTTGGAAAATTGTGAATTAAATTGTAACATAAAGATTAAATTTTGAAATAACCGTATCTTTCATTTCAAAACTTATAACTTGTTTCATGTTACAAGATTAATCTTTAACTTAACTTCATTAAATTTTGAATTAATGAAGTATTAATGTATGTGGGTATCTTAAGCCTTTATAAGAAGAGTTGTCTTCTTTTGATGGGAGATACGAGAATGAAAAACCAAGAAAAGAAAAACATTATATTCCTAAAAGCTTTTCCCCATTTTTTCTTTAAAGTGTTTTGGTCCAGGCATAATTCCAGTTCGCTGAATTTGTTTCGGTTTATCCGTTGTATCCTGGGAAACAGACGCTCATACGGGGCGAATCTGTTTTAAGGACACTGTGTTCTCACAGGCCTCGGTATTTTTTATTATAGCCATCTTACTTTTATATTCCCCATAAAGTTCCCTACAAGTTTAACATAACATATTATTCAAAAATAAAGATAGATAGAAATCAAGAACCATCTAGGTAACTGAAAAAAAAAAATCACGCGCACACACACACACACAGTTCACCTCTGCAGTCTGGATCGTGACACTTTTGATAATAGACAGCCCTTCTTAGGTCAACAACATAAATAACTGAAACAAATGTAGGCAAGTTTGTTTAACATAATCCCGAAGTGTCCAAGTGATGAAAGGAAAACGAGCATAAACTGGTACGAAACAAATACCGTGATTGCTTTTGTGTTCTCTGCCAATTCTTTCACAATATCTGTTTCTAGACATGCTGTAAACCATGAGTTCGAATTCCGAGAACCAGTACCAACTTCGAATTTTCCCTGTGAACAATATTTTTTAATGAATGAATGTACAAGGAGAAATGGATGAATTTTAAGAAAATGTTGATCTAAAGACATAGACTTGCCTGGTAAATCTCCTTTAGAAGCAATTGCTTCCACAAATGCATCCAAAGCAAGGTATGGCGATTTTCCTGACACGTAAGTTGATGGAGCTTCACTTTTAAAGGCATTCAGATAAAACCTTTCAGGACCATTAGAATGTTTACTAACGTTACTGGTGATCTGCAAGTATGAGAATTCTAGGGTTACGTATTAATAGAATAATTTAATGGAAAAAAGCATGTACAATAATACCGATGTTGCAAGCCAGATAAATCAATGAGAAGTTCCAAAAAGAAAAGAAAAAAAGAAAAGAAAACTGCAAGTGTACATTACCTCCGTTTCAAAGTGCAAAGCCTTCACACACTCTAAATCCATCTTGCAAATTAGGAGTTTCTCAGTATCAGCATCCACATTGCAAATCAATGATGTCATAAATGTTTCTTCTTCATCCTGCCTCATGAATTACAAAACCTTATTTCTTGATCATTAATAGTACTAAAATGCAGATTTAATCGTTTGTGGATATAATTCAGACTACCATTTTGTTGTTTTGATGGTACAGTAAAGCAACTCATCCCGACTCGAGATAACAAATTAATTAGTTTCTAAATGACTCCTAAGTCCTAGCTAATGGCACATGCTTCAAGTTCTTAAGACTACCATATGCTATGGAATTACTCTTATATGCCTAAATATGTTCGGAACAAGATAATGCTTGTAAACTAAAAAAAAAAAAAAGAAAAACACCACTCTTGTCTTTGTTCTCGTGGTTTTGAGGACTGTGGAGGAAATCATATGAAAACAACCCTATCATGGATTGGTATGAATAATTAATTATGTAATAAAATAATCCAGGTACGATGCCAGGTTCAAGGAACTAAGCTTCTTACCATGTCCTTACATTTGAAACGTCCACTGGACAGAAGAAAAGAACTCTTCCCTGCTTTTGATGAAAAGGCCAGTCGAAAGCAACGGTTTCTGGAATAGACAGCAGTGTCGATAAAAAGCTGACGCTGGCTATCAGCAGAATTTGGACTCTTGGAGACAAATAGTTTTTCATAGCTTTCATCTTTTACTTTACAAATGTAAATGCGCGAACATATCTGGCCACAAGATATAGAACGGAAGTAAAATTTATATGCTGAAGACATCAAAATCAACTGAAGAACATATCTGTGATGTAATAACTTTATGATGTAGAACGTGTGCTTGGAATGCTTGAGATACTCTCTCAAGACTTGTATAAGAGATACTCTCTCTTTGCAGAAGAAGAACAGTAAATTTTTTATTTCAACGATGATTGCTTACATCTCATTTTCTGTTCAATAAATAGGGAAAAGAGTCCTCTCTTGCTTAACAAGTGCAAGATATTTATTTATTTCCTAAACTAGGCATAATAATTAAAGACATCAAATAAATAACAAAAGGAAACTAAATAATAAAAGATGAGGTAAATAATAATACTAAATCTTGAGCCGGTCGAACTTGTCGAGATACGCTAAAGCGGCCTCGTCGTCATCATTCCCCCCCTGTTGAGAAAGATTCGGCCTCGAATCGGAAGCGGCCTCGTCGTCATCCGAGTTATCACCCAAATAAGGCACCAAATGCTTGACGTTGAAAACGTCCGAAGTGCGAAGATGAGAAGGAAGGCGCAAACGATAAGCATTAGGATTAATTTTCTCGATTACCTCGACAGGACCAACCTTACGGGCCGACAACTTGTTGTATTCATGGGCAGTGAAACGATCCTTAGTCAGCACGGCCCACACAAAATCGCCGACCTCAAACTCGACGTGACGACGGCGCACGTCCGCTCGTTTCTTGTACGCTTCCGTCGTAGCCTCCAAGTGAGCCCGAGTTTTGTCATGAATGGCACGTAAATCACTGATAACGTCGGCCGCACGCCGATCACCCGAGCCCACCGCCGGGAGGGCCACCAAATCCGACGGGCCTCGAGGCAACAGCCCATACACCGTCTCAAATGGGGAATAGCCGGTAGCACGACTCACGGCCGAGTTATGTGCAAACTCAGCTTGACTCAGCCGCTGGTCCCAACTACGAAGGTTGTCACCAACTAAACAACGCAACAGGTTGCCCAAGGACCGGTTCACCACCTCAGTCTGGCCATCCGTCTGGGGGTGATAGGCGCTGCTGAAGTCCAGGCGCGTATTAGCCATCCGCCACAAGCTCCGCCAGAAGTGGCTCAAAAAACGCGTATCACGATCAGAAACAATCGAGGAAGGAAGGCCATGTAAGCGATACACCTCACGAAAGAAAAGTTGAGCCACGTGAACAGCGTCGGTGGTTCTCTTGCACGGGATAAAGTGCACCATTTTCGAGAATCGGTCAACAACCACGAAAATGGAATCGAACCCACGCTGAGTCCGAGGCAACCCGAGCACAAAACCCATACTAATCGCGCTCCATGGCTGTGAAGGAATCGGCAGCGGGCGATATAAACCCGCATTAGAAGCCACCCCTTTAGAAACATGGCAAGTGCGGCACCGAGCAACAAATCGGGTCACGTCCCGGCGCAAAGACGGCCAAAAATAGGAACGGCTAACCAGGGCCACCGAACGGTCACGGCCCATGTGGCCCGCACCGTGCAAATCCGCCACCAACTGGTGCCGAAGGCTGCAGTCCGGAATACATAAACGGACCCCACAGAAGAGAAAACCATCCACCAAAGTATAGTCCTCGAAAGGGCCGGTCGCCAAATAACGAACAATAGGCGCAAAGAAAGGGTCGGCATCATAAGTCTCCCGCAAAATATCAAATCCAACCACAGAAACGCGCATATCAGTCAATAGCATCGACCGACGGCTAAGAGCATCAGCCACCCTATTAGAAATCCCCGAACGATGGCGTAACACGAATGTGAACTGCTGTAAAAAGGTTGTCCACGAAGCATGACGTGCTGAAATATTATCCTGTGTAGCCAAATGCCGAAGGGCCTCGTGGTCGGTGTAAAGAACAAACTCCCGATGAAAAAGATAGTGGCGCCAATGACGAACGGCGCGAACCACGGCGTAGAACTCGACATCATAAGTGCTGTAACGAATACGGGGGCCAGACAGCTTCTCGCTAAAAAACGAGACCGGACGACCGTCCTGGCTAAGAACAGCACCAACACCAACCTTCGAGGCATCACAAGAAAGCTCAAAGGGCCTCGAGAAATCAGGGAGAACAAGTACAGGGGCAGAGGTCAATTTCTCCTTGATCAGAGCAAAGGCCGAAGCAGCCTCAGGAGTCCAAGAAAAAAACGTCCCATGCAAACAGTCGGTAATGGGAGCTACAATCGAGCTAAAATGGGAGATAAACCGGCGGTAAAACGAAGCCAACCCATGGAAGCTACGAGCCTCCGTAAAAGAGGTGGGAGTCGGCCAGTCACGAATGGCCGTCACTTTGCCCTCATCAACACGTATCCCACTAGACGAAATAACAAAGCCCAGAAACAATACAGAGTCTACCAGAAAGACACACTTACGAGGCGCGGCAAAAAAGGACTCAGAACGTAAAACAACAAGTACCTCGCGAACATGCCGCAGGTGATCCTCCAAAGTCCGGCTGTAGATAAGGATATCGTCGAAATAAACGACGACACTCTTGCCAATAAAGTCCCGCAGTGCCTGGTTCATAACACGCATGAAAGTGCTCGGGGCATTGGAGAGGCCGAACGGCATCACCATCCACTCGAATAAGCCTTCGCGAATTTTGAAGGCCGTTTTCCACTCGTCCCCCGGTCGTATACGAATTTGATGGTACCCACTCCGCAAATCAAGCTTGGTGAAGATGGATGCACCATGAAGCTGATCAAGTAAATCATCCAATCGGGGAATAGGAAACCGATAACGGACCGTAATTTTGTTGATGGCCCTGCTATCCACGCACATGCGCCATGAATCGTCCTTCTTGGGGATGAGAAGGGCGGGAACAGCACAAGGGCTCAAACTGCGACGAACGACCCCACGCTGAAGGAGGTCCTCAACCTGTCGCCGTAGTTCCTCATGCTCGGCAGGGCTCATACGATAGTGAGGCCTATTCGGTAAGGACGCCCCTGGAATAAGATCAATGTGATGCTGAATGTCCCGAAGAGGTGGTAACCCAGAAGGGAGCTCATCCGGAAAAACATCAGCAAACTCGGCCAACAGAGGGCGTATCGCCAATGGGGGCTCCAGCTCAGTGGAAACATCACTCCCGACCAACAAAAATACCACTGGAGAATCCCGCAGTGCCGTCTGAAAAGCCGAATGGGAAAGAAAGAGGACGGATGAGGTGGAAGCCATCGGAGGCAAAGTCCGCGGTGCCGAAGGAAGTAAAGTGATTTTGATGCCGCCGAAAAGAAAGGAATAAGTATTCCGACGACCATCATGAACAGCGGCACGGTCGTATTGCCACGGTCGGCCCAGTAACAAATGACAAGCATCCATGGGAACCACATCACACCAGACCCTATCACGATAGGTATCCCCAATGGAAAAAGAGACCAAGGCCCGTTTGTCCACCGTCACCGCACTACCACGTTGAATCCACGCCAAAGTATAAGGTTGTGGGTGAGGCTCACAAGACAAACCCAGCTTATCAATCGCTTCCTGAGAAATAACATTTTCACACGCACCAGAATCAAGAATAAAACGACAAATTTTGTTACCCATTGTGCAAGTGGATTCGAAGAGGTGATTGCGCTCATTGTCCAGGAGGTCCGAGCCTTTTGGAGCCAAGCAAGTTCTGCGAATGACCAACACCGAGCCCATCGTATCCCCGCTCACAAATTTCTCCACGTCACCACCCCCGATATCATAAATCGGTTCACCATCATAGTCCTCGGAATGTTCAGCGTCCCCCACCTCCTCCGTAAACAATGCCTTGGAAACCGCGCCACGGGGACACACCGACTGCCGGTGGCCCGCCTCGCCACACGCAAAGCAACGAAGGCCGGCGAAACCCCGCTGCCCCACCGCAGCCGAGGGCTGTCCGGACGGACCCCCGCCGCGCGTAGGCCCGCTGCTGGCCGCTGGCAGCTTTCCCGGAAGACCTTGCCCGCCGGAGAAGGTCGCAGCTCCTGGAGGTGGTGTCCGGCTGAACGGAAAATTGCTCCCAGTTTGCTGCCATTGCCGCGCTGCTCCTCCCAACGGAAAGGTCGATTTCTGGCCAAGTTGAGTCTTGACAAGCACTGCCCGTTGATGTGCATCGGATAAAGAATCGGGCCTGAAGAGATTGACCGTATCACGAATGCCCTGTCGCATGCCGCCAACATACCGGGCCACCACTTGATTTTTTGATTCCCGAAGTTCAATGCGTGACAAGAGATTGTAAAATTCGTGCGTATAATCACCCACCGACCGTGTTCCTTGACGCAAGTTATGCAGCTGTTGATAAACGATACTATCATAATTGAATGGCACGAACTCACGTTCTACAACCTTCCGGAATTTCGACCACGAAGTAATATCACGTTTCCCTTGACGATGCCGCACACTTGATAATTGCATCCACCATGTTGCTGCCCGTCCCCGAAAACGGGTGGCGACCAACGCGACACGTCTATCTTCCGGCACTCCCTTAAATTTAAGCACCGCCTCGACCGATGCCCACCAATCAATAAACTCGGAGCCATCAACACCACCGTTGAATTCGGGGATGTCGACACGGAAACCCGACTCCCAACGCGACGCATCGCCCCCTTCTATCGGACGCATGCCCCCGCGCCGTTCATCGAAATCTCCTTGTCGCCCACCCGC